CTCAGGCAGATGCACTCAAGTTGATCACCACCTCTGCAGAGCTGCATTCACCTGGATTCACACCTATGTGTGCAGATCTGTGATCTCCTTTCCAAATGCTGCTGCTCTCTGCTGTGTGACAGAAAGGCAAAGCACTGATCCTGCCAGATGGGTCACGGAGTGCCTGAAACCCCAGCGATCTTGTGGGTGACAGTTCTCCTCTCAGTCACAATGAAGAGTGTGCTCACTTCACTGGAGAGTGCTGGGAAATTAATTTCCTTGTAACAATGCTGCTGCAGCACCTAAACCCTTGAGGAGGTGGCACTGGTGCTTCCCACCATGAACTCCACAGAGAAGACAGTCTCTCATACATCGATTAGGAAATAACAAAGCTCAGAGGCACAAAGTTCTTTAATGTCCCAGCTACTGCACTGATCTTCCTGCCACGAGATCAGATATGAAAGTGATATGATTCCTTCTGATGCAGGAGCCCTGTGATACAAGTTGATTTATGTGAAATCTTTTGGTGAGTCTCAGATTTTTAATCTCCAATTCTGGGTGAGAAGCTGAGCCCAGGTCCTGAATTTTCAGGGATTTTGCTTCACAGGGAGGTTGTCCTGAAGCTGGTGACCCTTTTTCCTCCGGGCAAAGCCTCACAATCTGTGGTGCTCAGGTTCAGAGCAATCCCACCTGGGACATACAGCATATCTGTGGGGTGGGAGCAAAGATCCAAAGTGTCCCACAGCACACAGAAGTAGCTCTGTCATTGTCAGCAACACTGCTGAGCAGTGACAGACCAGCTGGTGGAGGAGCACCAGGGACACAAATGACAGGAAAAGGTGTGTTAGAACAGGAGGTGGTGATGGTACTGATGTCAAGGCCATCCAGATTGCAGCGCCCAGCTCCCTGCGGGATGGGAGATACAGGACAAGCTGCTGTGCCACAGGGACAGGACAGGACAGAGTGACAGCTCCCTGCCAGCTCCTGGCCAGCACAGAACAGAACATGCAAACCCAGCACGTTCTTCTCACCTAAAAAAAGCCCAGCAGGCGTGAGGAGGACTTGACAGCTGTCATCCTCTGCATCATCCCAGGGAATCCTGGAAACATTGGCTGAGCACATCCTGCCTTGGTGTTTGCATGCTGGGTGGGCTCCTCACACACGCCCACCCTCCTGAGGAGGTGTGTGCAGGAGTGCCACTGAAACCACCTGGGGTTTAGCTTTGCTTTAAAGTCCAAGCCTCTCTTTTCCTAGGAGGTCTCACATTGGAATGTCCTTGGCACAGTGGCACATCCCAGCTGAGCTCCTCCCCAGCCCCTTCTCTGCACAGGCAGCAGTGGGTTTGTTGAATAAACAATGCATAAACAGGATGGAGACCAAAGGACGAGAGGAATCTGTTGATTGATGAGAGTACAGATCCTCAGTTACAGACCATCCGGCTAGAACTCTCTAAGTGAACCAAGTACTGACTCTTCTGAAAGAAAGATTTTCCATAAAAGCTGAGTTAGGCCAGACACATCCCTGGGGCAGAGTACACAGGCTGGAGGGGAGTAAGCAGAGAGAAGAGATGACAGCAGAGAAGATTGGAAAAGAGAAAAATCCCCTGGAGATCTTCTTCCCTGTCACCTGGAATGACTGAGGTCCCCTCAAGAGCAGGAGCTCTCTACCTTGCAGGAAGGAGGCTGTAAGAGGCTGTGATGCCAAGTGACTGCCTCATGAATCTCATGTTGAGAGAGGAGCAGTGGGAGATCACTTCACCATCAGCACAGAACAGAAAGACTCTGTCTCTTGAATTAATAACCTGAAGCAACTGTTCTGCTTCAGGCAGCCACAGGAAAATGCAAAATTCAGATACAGGTTGCATTTTCTGGTTGTTATTATTTCAGATGAAATTCAGAATTAGAGAAGCAGGACAGGACATAGAACTATGCAAGCACTGCATGTGGGACTTGCCTTTCCCCACATTAGAGGGACTAAAAAAAAGGCACAGAGCAGGTATTCAGTTATATCATGGAGTAAGACAAGAGAGTTCCTTGATAGATATGAACAAAGCCCTAAAAAAGTATTAATTGACTATGCCTCCCACAGCAAACTCACCCAGCCTTTGTGTCTCGTCAGAAAAAGGATTTACAGGAGAGCAAAACTCACATCTCATTGAGCTTTTCATCATTTCCTTGCAAGGTTATCCTGCTGGCAAAGCCACTCTTATCCCAGCCCTGTGGAAAGGGAAGCCAAAGCACTCCCTGTGTCACAGCCACAGTCAGGTGTTCCTCCCTCCTGCTCCTTTCTCCTTCCTCAGGACAATGAAGGACACCAGCTGGGCCTGGGGGCCCTCCAGGCTCAGCTCCCAGAGCCCTCCTGTCCCTCTGAACGTGTCCCCTTGCAATGGATAAACCATTGTTCCCACAGGGACACTGCACCTCCCCAGCTCCCTGCTCTTTCCAAAATCACTGCACGGGTGCCTGCAGCACCAGCTACAGGCACTGGCCCATAGATGGGCAACAGAGAGAGTGCATTTATAGAGCTGAGTACATCACCTGACCCCCCAGAACCATCCCCAAAACCATCCACCAAACCCCCAGACCCCTCCTGCAGGGCTGCACTCCAGCTTCTTGTTCCCCTCTCTGTAGGTGATCCAGGACAGCCCTGGCCCAGGAGCAGAACCCAGCATTTGTCCTGGTTAGATTTCATGGGGTTGGTGACACTCAAATCTGCCAAGATCTCTCTCTATGGACCCTCCATTCTCAAGGGACTCGAGGTCTCCTCCTGATTTAGGATCACCAGAAGCAAATCTCCCTAAGTGTGTCCAGGTCATTGATAAAAACACCCAAGAGAATTGGCCCCAACCCTGAGCACCTCCAGCCTGATGTTACCCCGTGGGATCCCTGAGCTCTTTGAGCCCAGGTGCTCCCCAGGGAGGCAGAGATGGAGCCACACCACAGGGTGAGCTGCAGACACTGCCCTGGTGTGCACAGAGCACCAGTGGGGGCCCACAGGGGCTGACTCAGGGCAACAAACACCTGGGCAGGTGTGCTGTGCATTAATATCTCAAGTGTGGGCTAAATTACTTACAGCTCATTAGTTAGGGCTCTCTGCTGCCTCGGTCTGTAGGTCAGGTTTACCTTATCTAATTCTTCCAAACTCAAACCATTCCATCATTCTCTCATCATAGACACTGCTGGGCTGAGAAAATGAGGCAGAATCCTTTCTAAACCCTGCTGTATCTCAGAACAACACTCTTGCTCTCTCTCACTTGCATTCCTTTTTGGAAGAGTGTGCCAGTTGCCTGATACCAAATTGACTAAGAGGAGTGAGATAAGCAGCTGTTTGCTGTTGATAGATGCAATATTGCACACACAGCCACTGTGAGCAATTAAAAGCTTTATTTATTGCTATCTCTGTGGTGTGGTTTAAGAACTCAAAAGGTCAGCTACAGTGGCAACAACGAATAGCACATATTAATTAGATGTAATTATATAGATGAACTCTGAAACAAAATATGAGCTGGGATCAGCATGGTCACCAAGAGGACACTCAAATATTTGATAAAAGTGAGACTGCATATCTGGTTTGATAAGCTGGACTGTAGGCTTTATCACACATGTGAGGAGAGAAGGTATTAATATAAGTGAAGCCTGTAGCAGTCTCTATGGTTACAGCTAGCATTTTCTAATATAAGCCATTGTCTTCAGATGCTTAACTTTCCATGTTTCAACTGCTTAGCCTGAAATTTTCCATCACTGCTCATTGTTTCCAGGTGAATTCTCTAGCAATCAGGTTAGCAAATGTACTGGAGAATTCGAGCAGATTCTCATGCTGAAGCAGCAATTGGAAATTGGGCAGGGACTCAATCTTATCATCTGTTCCCATCCTCTCCAATTTACCCCGTGGCTTGGTGACTTTCAAAGACTCAGCACATCCTGCTGGAGGTTTTGTGCTGGAGCTGCCAAAGGTGACATCTCGTGGTGGAGCATCAGTCCCTGCTGGGCACTGCCCCCAGTGCTGCAGAGCTCAGACACAGCCCTGCCTCTCAGGGCTGCACCCAGGGGCTGAGCAGACTCCAGCCAGGCTGAGCTTTGCATCTGCAGCTCCTCAGCTGAGCGTGTTGCAAACATCTGTGCCCACTTTGCTGTAATTGTGGCAGTTTCTGTGTCAGTCCCGGGGACACAAACCCTGTGAGGTGGATCCAAACACGCCGAGTCAGAACTGCCATCCTGCAGGGCTCCAGTTGCTCAGAACAGCCCCCAACTCCAGGCTGTGGCAGGAATTATAAAATATGGGCTGAATGCATTTTCTTTGAGGAAAAGAGGCATCCAAGCCCGTCCAGCTCCCAGCAGCACACAGACAGTCAGGTCTCCTGTGCCATCCCCTCCCTGCCTGCTGGATTGTGCTCATCTAAACTGTGGCACAGGTGGGAAAATTAATTCTGTGAGCTGTGCCCTGGCTCAGAGGAGCCCAAAGGTTCTCACATGTACCCACAGAGGTTCTGTAGCCAAGCTGAACAAGAACAGGCAACAGCTTGTTCCTTCTGCAGTGTCTTTACCACCCTGCCACTCTCCACGTCTTCATTCACAGCTTTTTCTGTTTTTCAGAGTTTGAGCTGTGGTTTGCTGGGTTTAAATTCTGTGAATCACAGAATCATTAAGGCTAGAAAAGACCCCCAAGATCATCAAGGCCAACCTTTTACCAAATGCCCCCGTGCCCCCAAACCACATTGGGAAGTGCCACCTTTACTTGTTTTCTGAACACTTCCAGGGATGGGGACTCCATTACTTCCCTGGGCAGACTGAGCTTAATAACTTTTTCAGTCAAGAAATTTTTCTCAATATACAGTGGATGAGATAAACATTAAAAAAAAAAAAATTACAACTGATGACCTTAAAAACCAACCAACTTTTTTTCTAAAATTCCTAACACACAGTTGCTCCTAGATGTTCCCGATTTCCTAATTAATTTTTGCCAACTTTAATGTGTTGAAAGTATTCCCCAGGTGCTGACTGGCTGCTGCTCTTTGCCCCCAGGTGTGCTGTGGCTCTCAGTGGTGTCCGAGGTGTTGTACATCATGCTGTTGGTCGTCGGGTTCAGCCTCATGTGCCTCGAGCTCTTTCATTCAAGCAGTGTCATAGATGGGCTCAAGTTAAATGCCTTTGCTGCTGTCTTCACTGTGCTTTCAGGTATGAACCTCCCCTTCCCCTTTCACCACCACAAAGCAAAATTCTACAACTCTGAAAGAATAAAGAACCAGAGGCTCCAAGGCTCTCCCTTATTCCCATTTAGCTATCGCAGTTTTTCACTGTAATTTTTTGCTCCTTTGGCACAAAGACTGCATGATAAATTCGCCTCTTGCCAGGGAGAAGTGAATATCCTCATTCCTGATTTCACAGCAGCAATGCAGTAATTATCCTTCCCCAGCCATTACCACAGCTCCAGCCTCAGCTCCATTTGCAGCATCATCACACTCATTTTCCAGAGGAAAATTAAAAACATGGAACTCTGAAAAGTCTTTTTTTATGTTAATCCTGAAAGTAGGTGAAGGCTGGAAAACCAAAGAAAGGAGCTCATCTTGTTAATTACCAAAATTGAGAATTTAAAGGGTTCTAATAATGGCACTGAGGAGCCAGGCCTGGGACCAGCACATCTCCCAGAACAACTGTCTCAATCTGCAACTGGGGCTCCTCACCAAATGAACTTGAGGAATTCGCTTCTCTAAAAGAAGCCCAACCACGTGGTGAAGTGCCCCTTCACTTCTGTGAGGGTTTTTCAGGCTAAACCCCCCCTTTCCAGGATTTATCCAAGCATCCAGAGTGCCCCTGTGAGCACTCCTGCATGGACCTCTCTGGCAGAAAGAATTTCTGCAATAAGTGTATTTTATTCTGCATTTCAGGCTGGAAGATACAAAACCAGGCAGTGTACATTCTGGGAAGGACTTTGTATCTTCAGGGATAGCTGCAAATAGTGAAATAATAACTAAAAGAAAAGGTCAGAAGTAGAGCTGAGTGACAAAAAATTTGGTAAGAACTACCAAAGCATATTTTTCTGCTTTGGATATTATTTGGAACTTAAAAAATATCAGTTCTATTTTCAAAATCAAACTCTGTGGAATTCTTCAGCATTCATCATTTACTTCCATGCTGTTCCTCTCTCCCCTCACCATTAACTGCAGTTTTAAAGTTTTGTAAGAATGATGAAGTTTTCTTTCCTACACAACTTTCTATTTTTATTTTGGCCTTCCCTCTTTCTAAGTGCATTGCCAAGATAATCCAAATATAAACTTCAAAATTTTACAGGGAAAAATGATAGAGGAATTGAAACAAGGATAAAACTCCAAACCCCAGTACACTGCTAGCTGTTATTTGCAATGACAGGGATATCAGAGGAAAGAAGAAAATTATATTTATTTAAGCTTAGCATATTTATAATGACATAGCTTAATAGAAATTAGGTAATGAAGAGGACTTTCCATTGGAGCATAACACTCCTCATTAAATTCATGCTTGAGTTCCCTCATAAAAGTGCAATGAGATCTCCACATTCTCATAGCTCACCATCTAAAGGTTAGGAAAAATATCCCAATAGTGTGGTCACTTATTAATGTTCCTATGAGCCACTAAAAAATACCCCACAACATCACAATTTTGGTAACTTACATGTCTCTCATATAATATTTATAATAAAATATTTTAATTAATGTGATATATTTCCCAAATAACACTTCTCGTCAAAAATATGGGAAACGCTCTAAGATACATTGTTTTTTCCAAATTTCCTTCATCTCCATCTTTCCAAAGTTCCTTAATTTCTCCCATTACTGGCACCTCCAAGCAGCTCTGGTGCTGCAGGGCTCAGGATCTCTGTGAAGGGTCCGTGTTTCTGCACTCCACAGCCCCAGGATTTTCCATCTGCAAACACCTCTTGCCCTGGAGCCCGGATGGGCACAGGCGTTGTGCCCTCCCTGCCCAGCCTCAAGCAACCAGCTGGGGGAAAGGATGGTCCTGGGCATGGAGCAGTTGTTGGTTTGTGTTACAGGCAGCTCCTTTTTGCTCATTAACTCCAGAAAAAAGGGCCAGAGGGTTTCCCCATGGAGAGCTTGGCAAGGCACAGCTGAAATAGACCAAAGCAGGAGTGAATGAAGCAGCACAACAGAAGATTTGCATTATTCTGCTTTAATTTGGATGTGGCATAACAGCCCCCACAGCCCTGCCAGGGGCAGACCCAGCCTCACCCTGCCCTGCCATTCAGGCAGGTAAAACAAAAAACATTTCCAGTGTTTGCTGGTGACCTCCTCCTCACCTGGACCAGGGAGTGTCACCTCCTCCTCCTCACCTGGACCAGGGAGTGTCACCTCCTCCTCCTCACCTGGACCAGGGAGTGTCACCTCAGCCTCCCACACAGGCACAGGGCTGCAGGTGCTGGGACCCTGTGCAAGGTTTGTGTGACAGAACCCAGCAGCTCAGCCCTGCTCCTCCTGGCTCTGTCAAACCTCCTGCTGCCTCTCAGTGACTGTGACAGCTCTCAGGGCAGGCTGTAATATTTCATTAGGGCTGAAAAATCACTGACAGGACATATAGAAACAGCAAACTCCAAATTTGAGATCAAGGCACAACTGTCAGCTGAAGAAAAATCCACTGATTTAAAAAGTTCAGCAAGCTCCCGGTGCATTCTGGAAATTAAATACAACCAGAAAAAAGCAAGGTGTGCAGCACTGTGCTGTGCTCCCCTTAGGCCACCCACCCTGCCCAAATCTCATTGCTCCTGGAGTGAATTGCTCTTTCCACCTCCCATCTTTGCAGTGTCACTCCAACAGGAGGCAGCTGAGCACATCACCCCAGCTCCCTGTAACACAAGGTCTCCCTCAGCCTCTGCACTTGTTTGTATCAAATCTGACATTTCTCTTGCTGAAGGTCCTGCTCAACATGCCCACAACACAAACATTTCCTCTCCCAGAACTGCCCTGAATTATCCACATGTCTGGGACTAAAGGAGTGCTTTAGGTTCTGAGAGTAAGAAGGAAAAAAGAGCCAAAAATTGGGGGTGGCTGGGGGAGGGAAATCAGGATCTTCCATGCACGTGAAGGGCAACCATGGAAAAAATTAGATGGTCACAGAGAAGAGTGAGTGGATGGTCAAAGTGTAACACACAGACCTCACTGTCCCCACCATGGCAGAATATTGGTATTTCTAAGTGCCTTGAACTGCCTCTGCAGCACAAGAGGCTTTTGCACATCTGTGGCTGCAAGAACTATTTGGGATATTCTGATGCAGCCCCAGCTCCTCAGCTGAACCCACACAGAGCTCACTGGGGACCATCACCCTGCACTGCCATGGCAGGAAATCCCAAATTACTGCAGCTAGAAAATTCCCCAAGCCTCAGAGCTGCTCCTGGCCACCACTGCTTGAAAAGTGGGCTTTGGTTTTGCTCACAAGGATTTTTAAATACAAAGCTCAGGTGGTTTTTGTGTTTAAACTGCAGGGCCACAGTGGCCAGCTAAGGGCAGAGCCACTCAGGCCACCCCGTGGTTTATTGCAGCCTCGTTCTCTAACATGGCAGAGCCTCAAAGTCTGATCCTCACCCACTGCACTTCTCTCAGTGAGCTCTAGCAGTGCCACAAAAGCATCACCAGCCCTGCCCCACCAAAAGCACCCCAATGGTGTCCTCTCAGCACACATCATCAGGGAACCAAGCTCCCTTCACTTCCTGCTGCAGCTTCCAAGTGTTTTATGAGAGTTCAAATTCATAAATCTCAGCAGCTGCTGGGACAAGACACGGTTGTGTGGTGTGAACACACTGAGCCTCTCTGCTCACCTGTCACCTGAGGGCTGTCTGTGATGGGCTGGGAGGTGGCTGTGGGTGCCACACCCCTGGTCTGCAGCAGCAGGCTTGCTGGGGATGCTCCCTGTGCAACATTTTCTTCAACGATTTTCTTTCTTCAACTGCTCTTTTAATTGAGAATTCAGAATGATGTAAAATAATGAGCTCTCAGTCACATCTTCCCTCTGCCCATGCAGCTCCCTCCTCCACAGTAGAACAGGAGGTATAAAAGTACAACAAAGACTTTTTTGGAGCTCTCAAAGCACTTCCAGCAGTAGCTCCCTCAAGAATGACAAAAAAAAAACGATGGCACAAAAATTCCTGTTGTAATCCCTGCTTCCCAGGTCTCTTGGGGATGGTGGCACACATGATGTACACTCAAGTTTTCCAAGTGACCGTCAGCCTTGGCCCAGAGGACTGGCGACCACATTCCTGGGACTATGGATGGTCCTTCTGGTAAGTGTCCCCCCGTCCATGTCTCTTCTCTTTGGGGCTGTTCCCTCGGCCTGTTGGGATGGACATTCCACCTCCAGTTTCCCTGTGGATTTCCAGCTGCCAAACCTGCAGGAGCACAGGCGCCCAGGGAGGCTGGGGGACAGTTCTGGGTGGCTGTGCAGCAGCAGCTGTGCTATCAGCAGGTACAGAGCATTTGTAAATAAACAGCACCCACAATTACCAACACAGATTGAGCACTCTCATTAAAGTTCAATTTAGGAACATAATTGCCATGGCATTTCTGAGACTTTTAGCTTTTTTTTTTTTTTTCCTTGTTTTTAATTAATGTCTCAGTTGAACCTTACAGTGAAGCTTTGAACAAAACTGCAGAGGAAGGTGCAGTGCTCCTGGCACGATGAGATTTCCCTGTGGATCATGGGGAGAAGGGTTGGGAAAATGGACTTGGCGGTTTTTTGTTTTTTTTTTTTTTTACCTTTCCCATTTATCTTCTAAAATCACATAAAACTAATTTGGCCAAGAGACAGCAGCACTGTTATAGTGCTTGCAAGTTTATAAAATGCTTACCAAGAGCAGGAGGCTGTGGAGAATAAAAATACCTGCAAACAACAGCCCCAGTTCTCCAGAGGCATCAGCGTTTTTGGATGGATAGGGAGAATACTTTCTTCTTGTAATTTCTAAATATAGCACATTATTTTCTTTCCATCTCAAAACAAAGACAACAATCTTTGCTAACACTAATAAATAAATACTTCGTATGCACAGCACTGCAGGGAATTATTAGTCTTTCCTTCTCACCTCTTCCTACTGTGTTTCATAGGAGGAGTTAGTAGCATTTTAGCAACATGTTGCAAAATACAAATCACATTATATTTAAAATGCAGCTTATTTGGTGTCTCAGTAATGAATATTTATTGCATGTGATTATGGACTTATAAATACATTGAATTCACATATTTATAATATATTAATATTTATAACAACTCTCACAATAATTGTATAATTTTCAATAGATTTTAATAATAAGGCGTATTTGTCTTCAGTAATCTATTTTGTAATTTACTGCAATACTCAAACTTTGAAATGTTAAACGTCTTGCATGATAAACACTCATTAGATTATTCTCCTTCATCTTGTGCAAGCCAAGAGCCCCCATGGCTCAGAGTGGGCACCAGGGTCCCTCAGGGCATCCTGAGCTCTTCCACTCATCCCACCCCCACTCCCTGCTGGGAGCTGTGTCCCATGGGAGATGGGGATGGAGCTGTGTCCCATGGGAGATGGGGATGGGAGCTGTGTCCCATGGGGATGGAGCTGTGTCCCATGGGGATGGAGCTGTGTCCCATGGGAGATGGGGATGGGAGCTGTGTCCCATGGGAGATGGGGATGGAGCTGTGTCCCATAGAGATGGAGCTGGTATCCCATAGGAGAAGGGGATGGGAGCTGTGTCCTGTAGAGATGGGGAGGTGGTGTCCCATGGGAGATGGAGTTGGGAAGTGATATCCTATAGAGATGGGTTTGGAAGCTGGTATCCAATGGCAGATGGGGTTGGGAGCAGTGTTCCATGGCAGATGGAGCTGGTATCCCATAGGAGATGGGGTTGGGAGCTGGTATCCCATAGGAGATGGGTTTGGGAGCTGTATCCCATGGCAGATGGGTTTGGGATTTGTGTCCCATGGCAGATGAAGTCCAGACCCCAGCCCTGTCCCAGAGCAGCCTCTCCCCCAGCTCTCCCTGGGCAGTCAGAGCCAGGGAAGGCACAGTGAGCTTTGGTTCAAGGACCAGGAGTGCCCTGGATTTGGTCTCACTGTGGAGAACTCTGGGACTCACAAGCAGGGAAACAGGTTGGGAGTAACATCCCCATTCCCACATTCCTGGGGTGAGACCTCAGCTTCCCTGCACACAGCCACCCTGGGAGCTGAGCTCCTCTCCAGCCACTGCAGCCACAAATCTCCTCCTTGCATCTCCTGATCTCCCTTTCTCCCTTCCCTCATGCTTCCAGGGCAGTGCATTCATCCATGCAGGATGTGGGGCACAGCAAACACCAGCTCAGCTGGGACAGGGCTGACAGCAGCAGCATTTTCAGCCTGCAGGTTTGCTCAGAAACCTGAGGAGGACCAGGGGGTCCCTCATGCCGTGCTAGTGATGGGTAGCAGACCTGGAAAAGGAAGGAGGTCAAAAGAGGCAAAGCCAAGGCTTCTGCCTTGCAGCTAACACTGAGCCAGTGCTGTTGTACAGACCAGAGAACCTCCCCTGGCACCACCCAGCCTCCAGCACCTTCTTTAAGAAGGGTTCATTACAAATGCCCACCAGCCTGGTGGTAAACCACACATGTAGGAATTATTTTCTGTTCCACCAGGGTTCTGGTGATGTCCTGGAGCATGAGTTTGAGAAGCCCTGACCCAGCAGTTGTCACCACCAGCCTGATTTCCAGCCTGCTGTAAATGTGCCACTGCAGCACCCAGCCACAGAGCAGAGCCCAGAGAACTGAAACAGCCCTGGCAAGTGAGGCCAGGGAGCACTGTCCCCATGGCCCAGAGACAAAGGGTCTTGGGGATCCATCCCTTTCCCAGGGGTCAGTGGGAAAACTAAAATTTCTGTGACTCTACTTTCCCTCTGTCAAAAGTGAATGATCAAAACACCCCTCCCCAAAATGAGGAAGGGCTGTTTATGGTCTGTCAGATGTCTCAGGGTGGTGTCTGTTGTGTCCTACCCCATTCCCAAGCCATTGGCAAAGCCTGGGGGGCTGTTCTGGGCTCTGGCACGAGCCAGGAGTGGGCCAGGGGATTTTCCAGGCAGGGGATTTCTGTGCCTCTGAAGATCAGTAGATGTTCAAGCTGAGACTCTCTAAAGAAAATAAATATAAAAAGCCTGAGCTGTTTGAGCCATGGAGGAATCTGAGAGCCCAGCCCTGAGCTCAGCTACTGGAGGCTCTATGGGTACAGTCCCAGCACATCTGGGGCACAGCTGGCATGCAGCATTGCTGTTAAAGAGGCCTTCACCTAAGGCAGGTGTAACTCCTAAGGTAGGAAAACCACTCTTTAGAGTTCAAAATGAATAGCATTTAACCAAGGTCCCTGAAAACTAAAGTACATCTATCCTAATTGCCTAATTACTTTGATTTCCCAAATGCCAGGCACTGAGAGTTCATTCTGTATTTCCTTCTCTGAACTTTTCAGCACTTCTGATTTCATGATTAGAAACCATCAGAAACATCCAAGAGAATTTCTCCCTCAAATGCCATTCCCCAGGCACCTCCCAGGCACAGTGAGGCATGTGGTTTTGGCTGGCTTCTTCCTGGATCCTGCCTGGGAGCCCAGCTGGAAATGTCTGCAGCTGCTGGAGCTCTTCCCCACACTCCCCGTGGGAGGCAGGCTCATGCCAGGCCAGGAGGATGCTGTGCCTGGACACTCACACCTAGCACCAGCTCCCTTCCCACTTGTCCTCCCAGCCATGGGAAACTTCAGGGAACTTTGTCACCCCAGGGGTCACTGCATTTCCTTCTCATTTGATTGCATCTGGCAAACAGGTTCAAAAATGACAGGCAAAGAGCTGCCTCCACACATCTCATTGCCTCGGGAGTCCCTGCAGGACTTGTTATGAGCTGAATTTTGAAATCATTGAAATGAGCCATTTCTGTTTACTTGAGCCATTTTTTCCCCAGATTTTTCAGTCCAGGAATATGTGCTCTTTTTCAAGTTTTGTCTAATTTGAAATGAGAAACTGCTTCCTTGTCCGCAGGTCCTTTGCAGAATGGGAGAACAGCTCATGCTGAGGGCTGTGTTGACAATGCTTATTTATAAGATAATGCTACTGGGGCTGGGTTCTTTCTACTCTGCATAATTCAGATCCATTTGTTATAGAAAAAGTGCAAAAAGGAGCAGGTAAAGTGTGTCACCATCACAGATGATGAAGTTAATCCAGCTTAGTTAGGCAGCCACTGTGAACTAAGTGTAGCCAGAGTTGTTGGGCTGAGTGTGAAGCCAAGGGGAGCTGGAAGGCAGAGAAGACAAAAGGAGGAATTCAGGGCCTTTTTTTGCATCCTCCTGTCACCCTCACAAAGCATCTCAACTCCCTGGGGCCGTGAGTCCTTCACTAGCCCAGTCTGAACTCAAGGTCGGGGAGGGCAGAAGAGGCTGGGGGGAAGCCCTGTCCATGAGCAGGGACCAGAGCAGCTCCAGCTGGCCCTGCTTGCCAGGACACCCAGGACAACCCTTGCTGCTCTTCCAGCATGGCTCTGGACCAGTCTTTTTTTTTTTTTTTTCTTCCACTTCCTCTCTCCCTCTGCCTCCCTGTGCTCCTGGTTGGTGCTTGCAGGTGTCCTGGCCCTGGCTGGCCAAGGTTGGCTGGCACTGCCTTCACACTGGGGGGGTCAGTCAGGAGACCCCCAGGCTGGGGACTCTGCAGATGGAATTGTTGTCTTCTATTCTGGTCAGGCTTTCAGACACAAGCCAGGAATGCCAGAGGTGTCCATGAACCAGGAAAGAAGGAAACACAGTAGTCTGATGAAGGCATGAAAACCAGATTAGAAGCCATGCCTGCAGTGGCACTGTGCAGCCAGTGTCCCATGGATGCTGGAAAACTGCTCCAAAAGACTCCCTGGACATGGCTCCTTCCAGGAGCGTGTGGATTTTAGCCCTTGTCTGCAAGGCTCTGAGGCATTTCAGAGGGACATCAGGAGGTGTCTGGCCTTGGTGCCAGAGTGCACCAATGTTCCCCCTGGCACAGGGACCTCCATGGGATGGAGGCTGTGCCCAGCCCAGCCTCCTGCCTGCCTGAGCACGAGCCACGGGAATCTGGAGGGAAGGGGAGCAGAAGGAGTTTGTCACCTCCACCTTCCCTACCCGGTGCCAGCCTGTGTGCTTGTGACAGAAATATGACACGAGCTGCTGTTTAACCCAGCTCTGTCTGTGGTTTCTCTCTCCACAGTCTGGCGTGGGGCTCCTTCACCTGCTGCATGGCTGCCTCCGTCACCACCCTCAACTCCTACACTAAGACTGTCATTGAGTTCAGGCACAAGCGCAAAATCTTTGAGCAGGGCTTTCGAGAAGAGCAGAACTTCCTAGACCAGGAAGCCATCAAGTACTTCAGAGAAAGGTCAGTGCAGTCAGTCACTCCATCAGGGCAGGTTTCCATGGACTCTGCTGCTTTCAGAAGACCCAGGCTCTCACCCCCTGCAGCACTCGTGGGTGAAGCCTCCGAGACACCTGGGGAAGGTGTGTGTGAAAGGCAAACGCAAAAGGTTCTCCTTGATTTGGTATTTCTTCAATTTTGTGATGTCCCAGTGCCCACCTTTTCTCCAATACTCATTCAAATCTTTACAACGTGCACCCAATTCACAAAAAGCTGTGCTGCCAAAGTAAGCTGGTTTTCCCTCTCTAGAAAGGTTAAATTGTGGGGGTGTACCAAATGTGACATTCATCCTTTCCCACCAGTGCTACAGGCCCCTCCCAATAATCCCAACAGCTGCTGAGGCATTTTCCAGCCACCACCAGGACACTTTGGAGCTGCCATCTCCTACATGCCCACAACCCATCCCTGGCTGCTTTGCATAACCCATCCTCTGGAGCAAAACCACACAAATGCAGCAAAACACCCACACAGTGCCACCCACACAGTGCCACCCACCCTGCATGGACTGGGGTCCTGGTGGGTCCCAAGGCCCAGGGATGCTCTGTCACCCTGCCCAGCAGCTGTGGCTGCTCCAGGAGCCTCCTGCCCTCACTCTTGGGTAAGAAAGTCCAGGCTTTGTTTAAAGCTGTGCATTGTGAAGAACACACTGATCCTGGGCTCACACAGCAGGGATGGGCTCCACAGGGTGATGGACTTTCACAGGATGGAGAGCTGAGAAGTACAGAAAATTCTCACCAAAGTCTATGGCCTGAAGTGATATACAGATATTTTGGGGGCAGAAAATATAAGCAGGATGCATTGTTGTTTGTCAGAGCAGTGGGGCAGTTTCTCCATGGGAAGCTCTGAGGGCACAGAAGGTTTGGAATGATCAGCATTTCAGCAGCACAGTGAGGAGCTCTTCTGAGAGGGCAGAACTAGGGAGCTTCCATGATTATTGCTTTTTCCTTGGTTATCTCGTTTATTATTCTGTTGTTGCAGTTATCCTCCTGCTAATGTCCAAGTTTTCACTCTACCTTTCACAGTCTGGAAGGAAAAGAGAAATGAGGCAAACAACCATGATTTTCCTAATTTTGCATTTGGCCATGACAGTGAATTCTAAAAAATTCTCTGTGGGAGAAAAGAAAGCCCAGACACAGTGAGAAGGAAGGGGTCAGTGTGTGCCTCAGGGTAAATCAGCACTCAGGGAGGGAAAACAGATGAATTACTGAAGTGAGAATTGCAGATAAGAGCCCAGGAGAATTATAAGGAACAGTATCTTGAGTTAGATTGGGAAATACTAAGGAAACTTATTGAAGTACCACTACTGCCCTTTTTGGAACAGTAAACAGCAAAATGTATGAATGGCCCAAAGGACAGGTATCTCTTTCTCTCACATGAGCATCGTGGGTTTGATTTGGGCTCCTCTTGCCCTCACAACATGACACAATTCCACCCCCAACAATTCCCTCCTCGGTCACCTCCTCCCAGCCCTTCCACACACACTTGGCACACTCAGCTCAAGCATGTGGTGTTCCCTAACTTCATGATTATGACTTTTTTTATATCACATTATTTTAATTGTTGTATCTGAATACATAAAAGGAAGCCCAGAGACAGTGTTACCATGGGATCATTCTGGAGATTTAAAGCTGTGCAGCAATATACTAAATTTTTAATTTTTAAAGTGATCATATTCATGCTCAGCTTAACTGCTGTGCCCTGGGAATGCTCTGCCTGCAGGGGTCCAGGCACTGTCCATTAGCATCACCCTGTTGGGCACATTGTGGGTGCCCCCAGTCCCACACAACTTCCCTGAGCTCCCATCTGCCTTTGCACAAATAGAAAATAAAATAAATCCTCTTTCCTTCCTGAGCACACACCCAGGGATACTTCACATTCCCTCCTACTCCTCCACCTCCATGTTCCTTTTCATACCTCATGAATAAAACCCTCCAGCCTTTCTTCCTTCCAGTTACTTTGCACATTTCTTCACCCTCTTTGCTGTTCCTTTGGCTCAGTGCAGAGCCAGCACCCCCTGGAGCACACATCCAACCTCTGTGCTGGACAGGCACTTTCCTGTATCCCTGCTGAAAATTAAAGTTTTATCATTATTCCAAACAGCTCCATTTATCATCTGGGACTCAGGGAAGGAAAGTGTCAGCCCCATTTTGAGTGATAAAACTTTTTTGTCAGAATTTTATCCTACAGGGCCCCTGCTCCCAGGGAAGACATTTGCTTCATGAAAAGTACTGGCTGTAAAATGCTGCTAATCCTCCACGTGTTTTCTCAACTATATCATTGTCTTGTGCTTCATTTTAATTGCATGCAACTGCATGTAACAGCAGAAGATTTGCTGGAAATGTGGATGTGAGAGCTGAAATGGTTCCTTGAGAGCTGCCAATTCAAGAGCTGTGCTGCTGTCCCCAGCAGAGCAGGAGGTGCAGGGGATGAGCCCCTCCATCCATCCCATGTTTGCTGTGCTGATCCCCCTCCAGCAGCTCCCATCCCCTCCCCTTGCACAGCAGCCTGGCCCTCTGTGTCCCTGCTGCTCCTAAACTTCAGCACCCACATCCCAAAGGCAGCCTCTGCTCTGAAGAACGTGGGCAAGGCCTTTAACACCACATCAAAGTCTGTGTGCACTCCAAATTCTGCTGCACAGCCCGGTTTGACTCCAGCACAAGGAGTTACCCAGCCCTCAGTCAGTCACACTGAGCACATCCAAAATCCTCTGCACCCCCAGGCTCGAGCATCTCACTCCTCCTGCCACTGGGAAAACATTGAAGCAGCTGCTGAAAAATCAAAGATTCATGGTGGTACATACAATTATGTCCTATCCGGGCCTGGAATACTTTAAAAAGTCCAGACAAAACAGACCCTGTAGTTCACACTATAAAATCAAAAGATACCAGAGCTCTTCATCTATAATAGGTACAATAGTCCTCAGGGTAACTCTAAGAAAACCAGGTCAATTATACAGACTTGGAGGTATTATTCATGCATTAAGTGTTCTATAAAATTATCAGAATTATGTGCAAAGTCAGCTTTCAGTCTGTGTCCTTCAAGTGTTTTTCCTTCCTTTTTTCTTGTTTTCCTTTGAAATGAATATTTGTCTATAACTTTTGCTCATCTTTTTCATTTTTTAGTTCATTGGGTGTCAATTCATAACAAGTATCTCTCTTCCATCCCCCTGAGTTTCTCTTTCTGCTCTGTCTCACATGAATACTCTTGTCCCATGTGGTCGTGAGCACAGTCCCTCATCTGTGGTTTACCCCAGCCAGCAGAGGAGGAGCCCTCACTGCCCTCCTGCTTCCTTCCTTCCTGCTCTGAGCATCCCTCCAGAACTGCCAAAGGGACAGGGATCCTTTGTTCTCTCCCATAAAGTCTGATAATCTCTGTGACAGCAGCTGCAGGAATGGTGACAGACCTTCTCCTCTTCCCTTGCCCAGCTGTTCAGTAGCTGCTGTTTTAGCAGCTTTAGCTCTCCCCTGCTGTTTTGGCAGCTTTGTCCCTATGGCTGTGTAATAATTAAGATGCATTCACAAGAATTCTGCTCATTTAAATCAAACGGCTCCACCAACACCATCATCAAATCCATCCAGGCAAGGGCCAGCACAGCCAGCTTACCCAGGCTCAGTGTCTTTCCCAAGTTTGTTCTCAGCTTCTTGCCTTCTTTTTTTTCATATATTTAAAAACACCTTTCAGGCACCCTCCCCAACACACCTTTCCCTTCTCTCAGGATTCTGGTGGATTTTGCTTTCAGGTAAAGAACGAAAACTTTGCTCCCTTGCTGTGCTGGGGGCAGGGCAGGAACTGCTGGCGGGGCAGAGGGAGCCCCTGGGCAAGGGGCACAGCTGCAGGGACAAGGACAGGAACAGCTCCAGGGAGGACAAGGGGATGTGCAGGCTTGGGGTGAAGGCAGGTGAGGGCTGAAGGTGAGGGATACAGGGCCTGAAAGGTGGAAATCAAATCCAAGTGAGATTGATCAGATCCAGGTGGAGAGCTCATCACTGCCTGGGGCAAGGAATGAAAAGTTTGTGAAGTGATGTGAGGGAACTGGAATTACCCATGGCCCTCTTCCAGTGAGGACAAGAGAAGCTTTTGAACGTGCAGCCAGGCTGGGGAGGGGTGCAGAGTCCCACTGGAGCTGAGGCCATGCAGAGAGGGGTCAGGGCATTATCCCACCCTGTGGGAGGGGGGATCAGAGATCAGCACAGCCCTGCCTCAGTCTGGTTCCCAGCCTTGTGCTCTCTGTGAAGCAAATCTCACTTGGCTGTTAAACCAACATGTTTAGCAAGTAAATCTGGAAGATTCAGCCTCCCCCAGCTCACCCATCCGTAGCACAGCGTTTGCAGCTGTCCATCAACACCCATTGTGCCATTGCAGCTGATTTCACATTTTTCTTGCTGACTGGGCCCTTACTCTGATCTGCAACACCAACCTAAGCAGGCAGATGCTACTGGTGAAATTCTGGAGTGAGCTGAGTTCAAACTGCCATTGATAGCAGTGCAGATAAAATGTCTCTGCAGGGACAGAAAATGTAGTTTTAAGTGCTAGGAGCAGTTTGAAACAGACAGCAGGACCAAAGCTATTGCAGAGCTAATAAATCAGGACTATTCCCAACACTGTGAGAACCAGAACTTTTCAAATCATCATTCACATGCTATTTTTTCCCTTTTTGCACATTTTTGTAATGTGTCATACTCACAGCTTGCTCTAAGTCCATTGTGCTCGTGTCAGATGTGCAGATCATACCAATGCCTTCCAAAGACACGCCAACCTTTTGCTCTGGGTCACCCAGGTATCTGAACAGGGCTTCAGTTGCTGACCTAATGTACCTCCCATTGGCAGGGCCAGTAGCTCTTCACACAGACATCAATATTTCCAATCCTCTTATTCCCCTTTCATCAGTGCACAGGAGTGAGTGCAAGGTGGATTTGTTCTGTACTTTATTCTGCAACACAGGAAGCTTTATCCACAGAGCTGCTGCTTCTGGAAATCACATGGAGTGGCACTAAAGCAGTGCAGCAGCAGCAGCACCATCCCCTCTCCCAACACACACATACTGCACAGTGCTGCTGGGCCCCAGTGCTTAGATCCACCCTGAAGAGGGGAAGAGTGGAGAGATGCAGCCCTGAGCCCCTCATTTCTATTCCCCATGGCCTCTTTGCATGAGCTTTCCCCAAGAGGGGCAAAGCCAGGGGAACCAAGTCCTTCCTGAGCCCATCAGGATGTCCATGGTGGGCCTGGCTATAGATGGAGGAGCCCAGGTACGTTGGACTCTTATTGGTTTTGACCCTTCCATTTGTGTACGTTTGGGAGCAGCCTCTGTTTCTGTTAAAGGTGCTACTTCTATATTCTCTTTTCCAGGACTGAGGAGGAGAGGGCTGAGGCTGGGGACCTGAGGTTACAGTGCCTCCATAGCTGCTCCCCAAATAGTAAGTGACCATGGCTCAAATGGCTTGTACTGTCCCCATGCTGGCTCCCCGGGGCCCAGAATGAGGTTTGGAGTAGGAAGATTTGGGAACAGAGGTTTGTTGCTTTCCCAGACAGCACTGCCCAAGAGATAACCAACCAGCACCAGAACAGTACAGAATTCTCCAGCATTCAATTTAGGATGTGCACATATCCTATAATTTTGTGTTATCTCAAGAAGCTGTGACTTCATAGTAGTTTAAAAATATGCTCTAATTTACACCTGTATAACTTTCATTATCACTACCTTTTTTCATCTATATTTATCACCAATTCATGATGATGCATGCTATTGAATATAAAAATGATTGAAAGCAGCTTTGGTAGACAATAACGTTAGTATAATTAATGCCATTTCTTGCACTTTCTATGGAAATTGCTGTGCTTTTATTCAGTGTTTGCAAAAGCTCTTGCTTTAAGCTATGGGAATCGGTGGTTCAATGTGCAGAGCAATGTTGGAGCATGGCTCCTGCCCTGCTCTGAATGCTATACTTTTTCTTTACTCTCCAGGAAAGATGTGTGCAGTTTCATGCATCTATTTCCTTGGAAAGAAAGCAAGTGATCCTTCATTCAGCAGGAGGGAGCCTTGGGAGAGTGACTTGCTGGCTCTGCGCTATTAAAATTTGGAAACCTCATGGCATTTTGCTGCCTCTGTCTTGCTGAGATGCACATCTCAGCCACATACTCATGGAAGCTTGGTGTCTGTAACCCCAACCCCTGAGGGTCCTGCTCCCTCCCCAGACCTGCTGGAACAGCTCTCCAGTCCCATGTCACTGCAGGTGGTGTCCCCACAGGCATGATAGTGCTGGCACTGCTCTCCAGCTCAGTTTGTCATCAGCTCACTTGGTAACTCCTGCTCCTTGAAAATGTCATATCAGTCATGGACCTTTCCACAGGCAGATCCATGTCCCTCATTCTCACAGGCCTGAAAATGTCTATTGGTACCAAATTGATCTGGGTCATGTTTCCTGAGAAAGTTCCTCACCTGCCAAGCTCCTGGCAGGTGCTCAAATGTGCTTATTTTATTATTGAAGCCTGTCCAGAGGTCTTTGTTTCAAAGAACCAATAACAAGTCTTGACAACAGGTGTTCCAAGGAATAGGCTCTGCTGTCCTATGGCCAGCCCTGTCCCAAGTGTTTCCATTGTAAAGGACCCAGAGCTCACCCCGTAGAGTGCTGGCAGGGCTGGGAAAGCAAGCCCCAAATGAGAAGCCCAGAGTCAGGTTAAAGAACAGTGGCCATGCCCCAATATTCCATCAGGCTCAGCCTCACATCCATTACCTTCTGTAATGAAATCAGATCAATATTAATGAAGTGACAGGAGTGAAGTTGTGCTCTCGGTTCACTATTTACTTACAAATCCAATAGAAGCTGCAAAATGCTCATTATCCATGCTTATTAGGGAGGAAAAACCATTAGTTACTGCTGCTTGGGATGGCACAAAGCCTCACAACGCTCAGATGAACCTCTCCTTCCTCAAGCAAGTCCACCAAGCCATAACTGGCCTGGGGCTGACCCCAGGATCCTCCTTGCTGCTGGTTCCAGGGTCCCACACTCCCAGTCTGTGTCACATTCCCCATTCCAGGGGCCCGTGGCCAGCAGAGGATGGAGAACGGCGTGAGAAGGGCTTGGCCAAAGGCAGAGCAGCCACCAAGGTCACACTGACCCCGTGGGTGGTGTGGAAGAAGGGGACACATCACCTGGAACACACCAACCCAGCAGCCACCAGCAGAGGAAATGCCAGCAGGTCACTGGGAGCACTCCATGGACACTTCCCACAGGGTGGTCCCATGCCAGCAGGACACCAGGAAGCACCACCTGGAGCCGTTCCTGCTGCTCTCCTCATCCAGCACCTGACTCCCTGCAGGACCTGCCCTCACCCAGGAGTGCAGAGGAGGCTCCAATCTGAACCAAGCTGCAGATCAGGAGTGCTGGCTCATCCTCAGGCACCGTGAATCTTTCTGTCCTCCCACGAAGACAAAGCAGGGCACCTGTCCTTGTGGAGAGGAAAGGATTTGGGAGAGTGTCCCTGAGCAGTGAAAGAGCAAAAGCTGTAAAGAGGAGAACAAGGCTGAGCGGTTGTGGAAGACAAACACTACCTGGCCAGGTGATTTTGGAAGAGAGAATGTTGAAGGTTTTTGAGCAGCCCACCAGCACTGTGGGAGCACAGGTAGCACAAAGGGCCTTTTGCCAGGGCAGGATATCAGGTTCCTCTGTTGGCAAGACTGAGCTCTCCGTTTTGAGAAGCAGCCTTAAATTATAAATTCCATCAAAAGCTTGAATCCAATTCCATTGACTCCATCCAATCCAATCAATGTAGTTTTTCAGTCTTGATAATTCTATATTAAACCACTTAATGTCCTTCACTGAACTATATTTCTCTTTTAACAGGGTTAAAAAGAAAATTATTTTATTTCCTTTCAAACCCTTTAGCAGGGTTTAAACTTACCCGAGCTGAGAACAGCACCAGGGAGCTCTGACTTGGCTTCCTCTGCTCTCCCCAAGCTGCCTTCCTGTGCAAACATATGGCACTGGCCCCTATACATCTGATACCCCTGGACATACCAAATTTAGCATTTCCAGACACTTTTAAAGTCTATTTGTTGTCATTTTTGACCTTGGAGGTCTCAACATTTTCTTTCAGAAGTGCAGGACTGGGAGATCACAGTGCTCCAGCTGTGTGTAGCCACTGCACAAAAATACTGAAGGAGAAGTTTCACTCAGGATATTTTCGTTGTTTTGCACAGTTATTTATTAGCAAGAAATGCTCACTGTTATTAGGCTCCAGCCAGCAATAGTCCCTGATTTCAGACATCTGTATGTCCATGCCACTTCCACCCTTTCCTCCAGACCATGAGGCAATAACAGGACGAGCCTGGATCCCACAGGGCAGGTGGGAGAGGTGCAGATGGTGAATGTCAAACGGGCAAGAGAGAGGCAGGAGAAATATCACAAAGGACAAGGAGGGACAGGTGTGGTGGCAGAGCCAAAGAGGAGATAAATTGCCCAGAAGAGGAAGAGCTGAGCAGGAAACAGCAAATTCTTACTGTCTGTGGCTGAAAGCCTTGGTGTTATTTGAGGCAGATAAACCCAGAGTTCAGGACACCAGCTTCTCTTGTAGAAAACTGAAAGATTATTCAAAATTAATTCAGTGTTAAAGAAATAATATGTCACTGTTTTGGCAGCGTGGGCATTTCAGAAGGGTCACCTGACAAAGAGGAGGCCTTGAAAAAAATAGTTTTATTCTCATGTCATCACCCTGTAGGCATTTCCCCTGGGTCCATCCCACAGCTCTTTTCCCATCCTCCCACCCCGGCTGTCTACAGTGAGATTTATGCAACCAATCCCTCAGTGCTTCACTCTAAAGCATAGTGTAATTTTTTTCTATTCAGACAAGTTCATCAGAAGAACTCTAGATTTAAAACATGGTGGAAATGATTCATTAAACAAAAAAAAAAAACAAAAAGAACATCCACTGATTTTTTTTCCCCTCAGTCATGAGCGCCATGGAAGCAAAGTGGTGCTGGATGTGCAGGCAACTTTCAAACGTCTCCAAAAAAGTGTGTAGCACCAGCTCAGCTGGAGAGGGCAAGGCACAGACGGCAGCCAAGGTCACTGTGACAACGGGGAACATGCTTTATATGCTGAGCAGCACGGGCTGGGAGGCGGCAGACAACAAGGGCTTGACGCATTTGAAGTGTCGCTCAAAGTTGAGCCAAGGTTTCTCCTTGTGGAGGTGCCTGACAGCTGCAATCAGCTGCCTGTTTCATGTCAGCATTGATTCCAACTCCAGGTCTTGCAATTCTTCCTGTAATTTATTCAGTTCATAGTGATTCACCACATACAAAAAAAATGGGTGGGGAAAAACCCCCTCTGATAAAGCACCATGGTTACAGGTCGAAGATCCAGCCCTGCTGCGCTGGCAGCAGTGGGAGTCTCGCTCCTGTCTTCAGGCAAAGCCTTGCCCACTAGGAAATTCCAAAGCTGAAGGTCTCAGTCCTGTCCTCATTTACCTCTGCTAACAGCCAGACTGACATTTTGCTCTAACATTGCTTCTTGAGCTACCAGTTTTTCTGCTTCGGAGATAAGGAGGATGATAAAAGTAAATGCAGTCCCGTGTGGAGCCCGTGAAAACTCAGCAGTGGAAAAGGGAAGCAAAATAAGCTGACAGTTTATAATACATTTTTTGTTTCCTCCAGTGCACAGGTGAATTGAAAGGTTTCTTATATAAATTTCAGTGGGATTAGTTATGAAACGTGCTTTCTGTCACTCTTTTAAATTGCATCTTTCAATAAATGCTTCATCTCCTACAGCTAATCCTGGATTTATGCAAAAAAACCTCCCAAAACCACCCCCCCAAAAGCCAACCCTGTCCCACACAGCTAAACATGTGAAGTGTTTCAGACAGTATGTGCACCCAAATAGCCTTTCACTTACTGTGCAGATCCTATTCCCCTGTAGAATGGAGGTAGGGATTGTTCTCAGTTCAGTTCAGATAGTTTTACACGTGAGATATTTGAGGATAAATACATGTAATTTTATCAGCAAAAATGCAAATTTTTAAATTTCCTTAAAATGTTTTTTTTCTTGTCTCCCACGGTCCAAAGCATGACCTTGACTCGTGCAAGGAAGGGGCAGCAATCCCTCTGAGCCAAATAACTCTGATTTTCCTGTAAAAACCTTTTTATTCATCAGGGACTCTCCTGCAACAGACACTATAAAGTCAGTGGGAAAAGGGACAGCCCAGAGGCTCCAGTGGAAGGGAAGGATGGTGAGGTGGGACACAGAGGGGAGAAAAGTGAGAGGAGACAGGGGAACAGGAGGAGGAATAAATTATTTTCAGAGTTAGGCAGAAGCAGAGAACAGCACAGTTGGAACCCCAGAGGGCTCTAGTCCAGCCCAGTGCTCCAGAATGTCCAGGCTGGGTCAGGCTTCATTCCTTGTCCAGTTAGATTTGAACACGTCCAGGGATGGAGATCCCAATACCTCTCCTGGTCTCTACCCCACTGTCTGAACACCCTCAGGGTGAAAAAGATTTTCCTCATGCCCAGTTGGCAATTCTGGCCTCCCAGTCCTGTTCAGCCAGGTTAAGAAGGCAAGGCCCTCCCAGGTGCTCCCTGGGACAGGTGTGTGCTTGTTTCCTTTCCTGCCCTTTACATAACCCATTTTATGATTCCTTTTAGGCTTTGCTTTTATGCAATAGCTCTGTAACTGTCTGCATTTCCAATTAGAAAACCTTTAAATTTGATTTAAACCTGATAATTAAGCCGTGATTTAGCAAATTAACCCTATTGAAGCCCAGAGGTGTGAGACACGCTCTTTAGAACCTGAGCGTTTGGTGTTTAATTGCATCCAACACTGAGAAAGGTGCAGGGAGGAGGAGAAGTGACTGTGCAGCTCATTCAGGCCACCAGTGCTGGCAGGACAGGACCTCGTGCACAGACCTCACACATCCCATCCAGACCAGGATGGGCTGCTGTCTTCCACCACAAGAATTTACCAGATGCACAAAAAGACTCAGTTGGTCCCTGGCATCGCTACAAAAGCTTGTCATGTCCTTTGGCTGTCAGAAATCCTGCACCATGGTCTGCACAGGGGTTGTCTTTGTGTTCCCCTTCAAGGTCAAGGCATTTCTAGCTGCATTCCCTGCCTGTCAGGACAGCTCCAGGCCACAGGGGTGGAACATCTTCCTCTCTTGCCATCAGAATTGACAAACTGAGAAAAATTGAGCCATCCTCTAATTCCCTGGGTTCCCAGGGAGCACTCCCAGGAGAGTGAAGCATGAGGGAAGGAAGGCAGGTCTTCACTCTGGGCAGGATGGGCCACCTGCAGCCAGCATTTTGTGTTCTCACAGTCACTTTGCCAGTAGCTTTCATCCCTTCCCGTCCTCCTGCAGCACCAAATCCTTGGTTCCTGCAGAGCTGTGTGACTTTTGGGAAGGAGAACATGGATGTCCCAGTGGTTCTCACACTGAGGATAGCTGACACGTGCTCCCTTGGCAGCAGGGAGGAGCTGGTCCTGAATTCATGTGCCTTATTCTCAAATGCTTTGCTCTTGGTCACGACAAGCAGAGGGTTTTATACAGACACAAGAGGCAAACCAGCCTGTGGGGAAATGCACTTGTGGGAAACAGGCTTAAAATTGTCCCAAAATAGGCCTAAAATTTTCTTATAAGCCTTTAGCCCAGTCCAGAGGAAAAAGTGTGTGTTTGTCTTTCTTTAGGGCTTCACAACACCCAGCTCTAAGTGTCACTAGCCCGCAGAGGAACAGGAGTGACCATAATGCTCAGAAAATGCCCCCATTCGCTACGTCAAGCTCTTCCAGCGACACATCAAGCAGCTCTTCACTTTCATCAGAACCAACCAGCCAGATCTCCATGGTTCAGGATCAAACCCTGCTGGACATCACCTCCATCACTAGATTGGCCCCAGGGGAACCACCAAACCCTCAAGCACTTGAGCAAAGAGATACAAATTTAGCAATATCGAGTTCCAGCCCACTGGGAGCAAGGACTATTCCAGCATCTTGCCCAGCCAGCCTCAGGCTCAATCTAACACCCAGCTCAGCCAAGCCACAGCAATACTCTGACTCCTCTCCAGTCAGCCCAGGGATCAATGCAGCTTCCTTCTCCACCTTCTGTCCTCACACAGCACAAAACCTCCGAGCTTCAGCTTCAGATCACACACTGACCCCAACCAGGACAAGCACAAGGCCTCCAGCAGCAACGACTCCTGAAGAGAGTTCCCAGGCTCCTGGCTATTCTAAAACTGAATTAAAGAATACAGGAAAAGGGTTTGAATCAGATCTGGAAGATCCTGATCATGAGAGGTATGTATCCAGAGCACACTGGTGTCTAAGCCCTCAAATGGCCCGTGTTGGTATAGAATCATTAAGAGCTCCCCATAAATAAAGTTAAAGATATTTTATGATTCAGATGTTCCCAGTGTTTGTTTTCCAGTAACCACCCTGTGCTTCCACTAAGCTCTGTTTTCCAGGGAGCAAAATGTCCTATTTCCATATACCCATTTATCTCTCCAGACCTCACGACAGACCTGGGCCAGGTCCCCAACCTCAGCTCCTCCAGCAGGGCACAGTCTTCAGGTGCCCCCTTTCCTTCCAAAGGAGGCAGCACAACTTTCCCTTGTAGCAGCAGAGAGGAGCTGTGCTGTCCCTTGGAGGCTGGCAGGGCAGAGCAGGGCGTGGTGCTCAGTGACACCGGGATGTCCCTCCCAAACCTCCGCTCCGACCCCAGGCAAGCTGGGCTGGTCCCACTCCTCAGAGCCTCTGAACTCCACCCTGTCTCTGCCACTTCTTTCCTTGGCAGGAGATTTGTAACCACACAGGAATTCCAAGCCATGGAGAAAGAGCTAGAGCATGTAAAGGAAGACCTGAAATGCCTGAAGTGGAAGGTGAGACACATCGGGGAGACGGTGCAGCCCCTGGCCGAGGACAGCAAGAGGTACAATGGCTACACCCTGACGGAGCTCAAGGCCATGGTGCAGTTTGAGGATGACCCTTACAAGGCTGCCCACAAGATCCTCACCGCCCTCTTCAGCGATGTCTACTGGCCACAGCACCCAGCTGAGCAGGCCTGCAACTCCTGCTCCCTGCCCAAGCCCAAAATAGACCCAGAGCTCTACATGGTCTACTGTGACATCCTGAAAAGCATATTCCCTGGGATCAGCAGCCAGACCTTGAGGGAAGAGACACAACACACGCAGCAAAGCTCCCAGAGAGCAGTGCAGTGACAGCAGAGCCCGCAGGGGCTGTGCAGGGTGCGAGGTGGCTTTAGAGGACCGGACTGTGGCAGGTCCCGGGGGTGGAGTCTGTCCCTTTTAGGTATGGATTGTCTGGGAAGGTGTTGGTGAGCTCTGAGCCCTCATGCCCAGTGACACAGTGGGAGGGCATCCTGCACTCTTCCCACATTTTAGAAAACAATTGCTCCTTTGGTGTCTCTTTCAATCTATGGACGTTTCCTTGTTTCCAGCAACTACAAATGCTGACAAAAGAATCCCACAAAGGCATTGTATGTCCAAGCAAGGGCCTTCTCCCAGCCCCAAACAGACCAACCAACCAGCATCTGGGTAGTTTCTATTTTCTAGAGTGTATCATTCATTAAATGACATTACTTGTTAGAAAATCGTGCCTGTTCTTTTTTATTTGTTAGTCTAAAAATGTTTTGCACAGCAAATCAATCAACATTGTAACTTGGACACACACTGGAATGAGAACTGGGAATTGCAAACCTTCCTCTGCCCAACTGAATCCTTGTTTTCAGGGGCACAAACCCAGGGCACAGTGGTGAGCAGCTGTGGTGAGCCCAGCCAGGTCTCCTTTCAGGTAAGGGGGGGGTCAGGGTACAAAACTGCCACGTGCTCCTAAATCACCGAGCCAGCAGTGAGACAGGGGCAGGTCTGTGACCTGCAGCTCTGCCAGTCTGTGGTGGCTGGGCTGGCAGAGCAGCTCAGATGTGTTAACCCAGCTGAAAGGTTGTGACCCCTTGCAAGGGTGAGCACTGCTATGGAGCCAGTGCCAAGGGAAGGAGGGTGCTGGTCATGGGGGCCCTGGAGCTCTTTCCTTCCCTTCTGGGAACCAGAACGTGCCATGGATGAACAGTTTGTCCCCCAGGTTCTCTCCACAGGCCTGGCCTTGCAGCCAGCTCTGTAAAGGTGAGAGTGGAGGGCTGGAGGGATGTCCCTGTGCTGTGCTGCTCAGTGGCAGTGGCAGCCACACTCCCCTGACCCTCTGGTTCACCCAGGCCCTCTCAGAGTCAGTGACACTTGTTGGAAAGAGTCACTTCCCTGGGCTCAGTGTGACAAACACATAAAACCCCAGAGCACATCCATCCTGCTGCTCCTGCCAGGCTCCGAGGAGGGCAAGAGGCAACCTGAGAGTTCAGCCCCCCTTCCCCTCTGCTGGGCTGTAATCGACTTCTAAAGCTTATTCCAAAAATAACAGGGAGGAGAAAAAAACCAATTACAAAACCACTGAAAGCAGATGATTCCCAGTGCCACCACAGATCCAGACACCTTGGGCAATGGGAGGGAGCCACAGCCACACTCTGAACCTGCTGGCCACATCTCCCTGGGGCACTGACTTTAGTGGCAGAGCTCCCACCTGCCTTTCAGCAGGATGGTCTCTGCTGCACTCACAAGGACACTGGTTTAAGCTCCCTGTTGTTAGCAATTTATTTCACTTCCAAGCTGCTGTGCAGACTCAGGCACAGCACTGCCCACGCAGCCTCTCTGTGCCACGCTGCAGCCAAGATCCACAGGCAGAGCTGGCACCTCCAGGTACCTCCAGGGACAGCAGGGCTGTGCACAGTGTGTGCCCTTGGGACAGTGCCAGCCCCCAGAGGCGCTGGGAAGAGCCAGCTCCCTCCACAGGTGGGCACAGGGCTGTGTAGGATGATCAGATCACTGCAGTGTCCTCTCAGAGCAAATCCCCAGCGTGCACCACCACAAATCCAATGGGAGGCTCTGGGCACTGTGGAAGGGGTGTCTGAGTCTCACATAAACACCCCCTGCATCCTGGTCTGCCCTCATGGCTCTTTCCTGTAGGAAAACCTGTCCCTTTGGATGACGTGGGTGGGACTAGGCTGATCCTCCTCCCACTGCCCCACACTCATTTTTCTGTGGCAGAGACCCCCAGCTCTCTCCGAGGTCTCTCTTTGGAACTTCCCATAACCTCCAGTTGACACTGAACTGACACAAACAGATTTAGCAATATCAATCTTTATATGTTGCACTGCCTGCCTGTAAAATCTAAATACATTTGTTCCTGTGAGAACAGGCTCTGTGGTTTCTCATGTTCATGAGGCCAGACAATATGCTCAGATTTTCTCTTTTAGCCTCATTCTCCTCATGCCTCAGATCCAGCACAAGCCCATGAATTATTTTTATTAACCTTACATCATCAGGGCTGGTTGTGTCAAATAGTGTCACTTCTGGGTCCCTTTCAGGTTTCAGTGTCTTTTTCTACAGGGTCAGTTGTGCTGTGAATCACCTCCACCCACTCTGGAGATGTGCATCAGGTCTTTTACCCTGATAATCTTGGCTTTTAGCTATTCCAGTGGAATTTCCAGGTCATTTGCATCCAGCTGGATCTGGCCAGTCTTGTCAGAGCTTCTATACATCACTATTATTATTATTATTATTATTATTATTATTATTATTATTATTATTATTATTATTATTACTATTATTACTGGGTATCTGCACCTTCTGAGCCCTACAGTCCATCCCAGAGCCTTGCCAGCCACAGCAGCCCAGGGGCTCAGCTCTGAGGGAAGGGGAAGAAAGCAGCAGGACCAACCCACTCCACCTGTCCTCTGCAGACTTCTCAATTCTTCCTCTCCCTCTGCTGCATTTATACCTTGAATACCTGTGCTCTGTGAAGATGTCTGAATCTTCACTTACTGCATTATCTTTGTGACCACTTCCTTGTACTTGAGGCATCTTCTCTGATTTCTATAAAGGTAGAAAAATACGCTGATTTTCTCCTCATTTTCCTCCTGTTGATGTGCATTACCAAATCCTTTCATCCCTCCACAAGTCTCAGCTTTCCTGGCTGCTTTGCTGGGCAGAGAAGCGCAGCTGTCTGCCCACAGTCCCAGAGAATTTTTCTGTGTCCAGTATATTTTTTCTGTATGCACCCACTCCTAACACAACAGGAGGGTGAGGGCTGGCCACCCACACCTGCAGGAAGAGCCCTTCTCCCTGCAGAGCCCAGGACTGAGTCAGCACGACCAAACTAAGACAGCAGTGTCTTAAATATACAGGCCTGAAAGCAATTTTTTTGGCGTTGATTTTTAACATCCTGTGCTTGCCAGAATGTGCCCTGTTAGAAGCTTGCTCTGTCTTAAGGCTCTAGGTCTTGCTGCCTGGTATTCAGACAGAAAAGCAATTACACAGCCCCATTACTGTGACAGTTAAAGAGATTCAGCCATTGTTCTTCTTGGACAATTCACACTGATTCCAACCCATCCTGCATGGCCCCTTAGCATAAATAAGCCTTCTCTCCAAAATGTTATCACCTCCACTTGTATGGAGACAGGCAGGGCAGGCAATCAGACACACAGTGAAAAATTAGCCTTTAAATCCATATTGCATTCTGCCTACTCTTCATTAAACTTTTTTTTTTTTTCTTGAACCCATATTCTCGAGCTCGAAGACCCAACACCCCACCAAATTACTTTTATTCCTTTTCTCTCTTAACTACAGGCCTTGCATTTGCTATTTTGCAGCCATGCCCGGATGGGGAGTCATCAGTATCACACTCATTGCAGGGACATGCTGGCTGCTAGGCATTCATCCTGCCTGCACCCGGAGGGCTCAGAGCCCTGGCACAGGCTGCCTTCCCCTGTGTCACCTCCCAGAGCAGATGTCTGGTCAGGACTGTGAGGACAACAATACTTTTTGCAGCCTCGGGCAATCTGTAGTTTGCACTGATTGATTGCATTAAATAAGCAACCTATTAATACTCCCCTGCTGTGGCCCGATGGGCTCCAGTTGGCAGAACAGATTCTAAAGCAGATAAGTTGTGTTAAACAGAGGGTCTTGGTGCATGCTGCTCATGGAATCACAGAGTCATTTCAGCTGGAAAGAGCCTCGGGAGGTCAGCTTGTCCAACCCCTCTGATCAGACAGAATTCCATTAAAAAAACCTGAATAATAAACTCTGTGCTGCAAAAACGAAATCGTTGCAATAAAAACAAGCTTCTAACGACAAAGACAACAGCAGCGTTTTTAAAAGAATAAAAGAACTTAATTTACATCTGCATCAGTGGATAAAGAAGATAAATGGCAAACTTTTTGTAGCACTGGTTGGGAGGGCTCTTTGCTGTGGTTAGATCTACATGCATCACCAATTCATTTGTCAGCCTTCTCATTAATATCTCTAATGCATAATTGCAGTCAAAGTCACTCATTGAACCGTGCATTTTACGACCTCAAGGGTTACCCCTTCGTACTGTTAATAATAATATCCCTGCATAATGCAAATGCTTTATGCAAAACAAGTCCACCAGCTCTTCTGCTTTATGACTTAAAATACAGCACTGCAAGATTTAGGCAACCATCTGCATCTTTATATCAATTATGGGCATCATCTGTCCTGAACTGTGAGTCACAAGGGTTTGGGCAGTGCCATTAATTACCAGTAATGCCTTCTCCATTAGTCCCACCTGAATGTCTGCTCCTCACGATGTGCTCTCTCTACATTTATATACCCAGTGCCTGTGGCACACTCCATTTCAACCTGACTTCAGGAATTTTCACAATAAACCTACAATCTTTGTTTTCCAAGGTGAAAGTGCCTCCCAAGACCCTTTTCCATTTCCCCTATCCATCCGTTTCTCTAAGTGGTTACTTTCCCACTCTGAGCTGGAGCCCTCCCCCACGGATCTCTCCCCTCCTCGGAGTCTGAAGGGAAACAAGTGCCCTGTGAATCATCTCTGGACACTTATTCCCAACCCACAGGCAGGTGACAGGAGTGCAGGTGCTCCCCCAGGAACATCCCAAAGGGCTTCAGATGAACACACGAGGACAGAGCCCTGATCCTCCCAAGCCCTGCCCTGAGAAATGCAGATCGTAGCTCCTTGCTGATTTATTATGAAGAGTAAGTTATCTGAGTGGCCCAAAGAGAGTGATTAAAATACACATCAATGTCTTGCTGGGTCAGTGGGTTTTGATCAGATCTCCCATTTTGTGTTAATATTCAGATACGTTCCTGCCCCAGAGAGATGAATA